TCCTCTTCTTCACTTCGGACATTCCTTCCTTCTGTATTCTCTACTGACTACCTTACTGTCATTTCTCTTCTTTTCATCTATACATCTACAACCTATACATAGTGTATGCATCTAACACTTACTCCTGGCTCCACAGTAGGTTGATTCATCGCATTATCTCTTTCCTCTTCTTCTCTGTCGTCCAATCCCGTCACTTGTCATGTATTAACACACCTGACCCCACTCTCTTCTCTTCTCCATATGCCTCCAGACTAAGCTTCGCCCGCTCCTGCTTCACCCCATCTCTTTTCACTTTCTCTTATGACTCGCTCAGACTTTTTTTTCTCCCCTCAGCTTCCCTTTCTGGCCTTTTTATTTTTTCTCACTCCATTTCCTTCCAACCCCCCCCCCCCCCCCCCCAAACGGGCGCTCCTCAACAAGGACGTCATCTTTTCGTCCAAACACCACACTTCTTCTCTTCAATAGATGGACTAAGCGGTACTTAAGGCAATTCTGAACAACAACGGCAGCACTTAGTCCTGTTGTATGGCAACAGTGTCAAGAAGATAATGGTCACTAAGTCCCTCCATAAAAGCAGATGGATGGGATAAACGTCCCCGCTAATGGACACATCAAAGACAACCCTGACGTACGGGGGTTGAGGAAAGTTTTATTAGCAGAAAGCTGAGCGATGATAATGACAGAGAAGACAATAGATTTAATTTTTCGCCCTTTTGTCTTCGTCCAGTTTCTAACTCGCCTCTCGCTTAATCTGAGTCCTAATCGACCATTAACCTACCCCGCCCTCCCATCCCCCACCCCAACCACCTCTCCTCTCCTCTCTCATCTCATCTGTCCTTCTCCTCTTCTTTTTCTTTCCTGTAGCTTCTCCTTTTACTTCTTCTAAATCTCCTCCTCTCCTCCTTCTTTTTCTCCTCACCCTCTGTCCTCTTCCTCTTCCTCTTCCTCCTCCTCCTCCTCCTCCTCCTCCTCCTCCTCCTCCTCTTCCTCCTCCTCCTCCTCCTCCTTCCTCCTCCTCCTCCTCCTAATCTATGTCTATCATAAGCTTTTCCTTCTTCTCCGTCTTCTCCTTCTACAGCACGTTCTCTTCTTCCTAAATCCCATCCTGGCCTTCTCCCCATCTTTCACCTCCTCCTTACATCCTGCTCTGAAAGGCTAAAAAAACACCTCCGAAACAATTAATTAAGCCTAAAATAAAGAGAAAAAAAAAACTTGTTTAAAAAGTTTATAAATCTTCTGCTTGGACGGCAGAAGTAGAAAGATCAAAATTATTCTAAGAAATTCTAACAGACAATGCACTTATGTTGTGCGAGTGAGTGAGTGAGTGAGTGAGTGAGTGAGTGAGTGAGTGAGTGAGTGAGTGAGGGAGGGAGGGAGGGAAGGAGTGAGGGAGGGAGTGAGGGAGTGAGTAAGTGAATCTCATTAGTTTTGACCATAATTAAACAAAATGTCCACATTTTACTTAGCTCTTGGGAATACTCACATGTCATTCCTTGATATATGGGTAAGGACCTATGAGTATGAGAGAGAAGCACAGAAAAAATTGTCAATGTGAGGCCGTGGTGTTCTTTCTGTGTCCTTTGTTGTTTCTTTACTTTTTATACTACAATGAACAAAGAAAATTAGAATAGACAAAATAGCATTGTTTAGACAGTTTTAAAAAGTCAATAATTAATGTGAATTCCTGTAAATAAAAAGAGTTAAATTTTGCTATCCGACGCAGGCCAAAGCTACGTTTTTGAGCTAGGCCGACTCGTTTCGACCAATGAAACATCCGTTAATTTCAATGTGACAGCAACATTCTCTGGACCACTTACTTCCTTCCATAACGGCACCGTGTTATATTTTTTATAACGCCTTTATTTTGTGACCATGGTTTTGTTTAAGTTTTTCACGGTTAAAAAAATAAAATAGCTGTATAGAATAATTCTGTTTCTAATGTATCTGTTCAAAAAGATATTTTCTTTATAATTTGATCAACTCCAAGCTTCCCCTCGACCCCCCCCCCCCCCCCCTTTTCGTCCAATCCGCCCCCCCCCCCCCACCTTCCTTGGGTGGGGGTAAAAAAAACCAAAGAGAGCCCCATACCTCATTGATTTTTTTTTCGTTACTAGGAAAAAAATAACTTTCTGCCCAGCTCGGGAGAGGAGGGACATCAGGGCGCCTGACAGCCCTTTTTTTAAAAAACAACATGTTTTGACCATAATTAAAAACAAACTCCGGGAGAAGAAATACGAAAAGCCGCCCCTCCTTTTGAACCACGCGGCAATAAAAGTAACATATAAACCGTTGAAAGTCGTGAAGCGACGGTTTTTGGAGATATCTCAATTGCAAAAAGTATTTTTTTTTCAACAA